TTGTATATGTTCCCTAAGGTTGAGTTTCCCTAAGCTTGAGTTTCCTTGTATACAAAATAAGGAATAATGATAATGTCTACCTACTGAGATTTCAGGATTAAATTGGTCAATTTAGGTAAAGCATTTAGCACTATACCTAGAATATAGCAAGAACTCATAAAAAGATTAGGTATTATTTTATTTTCAAATAAAATTAAGTCAGTTAATAAAAACATAATTACGTATTCCTTTTTATTTTACCTATTTGGAAAAAAAAAAGTCTTAAAGTGTTTGTTTAAAATTTGATTTCATATTGACAAACTATTTTGAAAACCCTAGAAAGAAATCTTCCCCCAGGCACTCAAAAGAGGATATTGTAATAACAAAGATCAGCTCTACCATAGCCTAGTAATAATTTCAAGGGGAACATTAAGAATTCATTATTTTTCGGTTTTTGTTGAATGAGCTGTGTAAAGTGTAACAGACTGTTGGTTCTTGCCCTCAAATAACAGTCTATTAGGAAGAGAAATTAGTGACATTATTAAGGGATAAACTGTGTGACCTGGAAATAAGAGTTTATCATAGAATGACAGTAGAGTAGGCTGATACATACTAGGGAAAACTACCTAATAAAAACAAGAAAAAACATTTTTTTTGAGTCAGGGTCTCATTCTGATGCCCAGGCTGGAGTACAGTAGAATGATCACAGCTCACTACAGTCTTGACCTCCGAGGCACAGGCAATCCTTCTGCCCCAGCCTTTCAAGTAGCTGGAACTATGGGCATGTACCATCATGCCCATCTTATTTTTTCATTTTTTATTTTTGTAGAGACGTGGCCTCACTACATTACCTAGGCTGGTCTTGAATTCCTGGACTACAGCAATCCTCTCACTTTGGCCTTCCAAAGTGCTGGGATTACAGGCATGAACCACCGCATCTGGCTAAAAACAATAAAACTTCCTCATATTCTTAGACTATAGTGGGCAGATCAAGGCAAACACTTATCTGAGATATTTATTGGGTGCTCTTGTTAATACACTTTTTGAGAACCGATGGATAGGAAATACAGTCATGCATTGCTTAATAACTGGGATGCATTCTGAGAAATGTATGGCTAGGTGATTTGGTCATTGTGTGAACATCATAGAGCATACTTACATAAGCATAGATGGTATAGCCTACTACACATCTAGGCTATATGGTATAGCTTATTGCTCCTAGGCTACAAAACTGTACAGCATGTTACTGAACTGAATACTCTAGGCAATTGTAACAGAATGGTATTTGTGTATCTAAACATACCTAAATACAGAAAAGATACTGTAAAAATACAGTATTATAATCTTATGGGACCACCATCTTATATGCAGTTTGTTGTTGACATCATTATGCAGCACATGACTATAAGTGAAACCATACTACTTCATATTTTTAGAGAATCCAAGAACAATAGTCTCTTAGAAAAGTTGTCTTAAGTATTGTCAGCATAGTCAAAATGTAAGTGAAAGCAATTAATGCTCATTTTTGGTTGTAAGAAAATACCAGTGGTTTCATGATCAGCTCTAATGCATTCAACACCAGCTAAACTTCAAAAAGGAATGCCACTTTTGTTTGGCCACTAGAAATGACAGGAGTTTTATAACTCTGGCTATAAATTGGAACATTCACCATTCTGATTCCAGAATGAATATTTTAACCTACTGCAATTACTAAAACTGACCAATGATAATATAGTTTTGTGACTTTAAATTAGTGATATAGTCACTGTATCTTCTAAATTTTTCTCTTATATTTGATAGGCACTTTTTTTTTATGTCACAGTTCCTTCTCTACTTTTCCCAATGCAGTTTTTATTGTGATCATTCATTATCTGCACATTCAGATTGTTTATACTTTATTAATAAACCTGTGCCTCACCAATTCCACTCCTAAGTTTCACCTCTTTCATGACATTATCATTCAGTTAAACTCCTAAGTTTCACCTCTCTCATGACATTATCATTCAGTTAAACTCCTAAGTTTAGAATCCTTTTTTTTTTTTAAAGTTAGACTCTTACTCTGTTGCCCAGGCTAAAGTATGGTGGCATGCTCACAGCTACCATGGCCTCCACCTGCTGTATTCAGGTGATCCCTCTGCCTTATCCTTCCAAGTAGCTGGTACTATTTTATACATTATACTATCTTTATGTATTCCTTTTATTCATTCTTGGGGGGTTTTTTGTGTGTGTTGGAATCTCACTCTGTCACCCAGGCTGGAGTGCAGTGGCATGTTCGTGGCCACCACAGCTTTGACCTGCTGGACTCGGGCGATCCTTCCACCATAGCCTTCCAAGTATCTGGGACTACAGTCATGTACCACCACATCTGGCTAATTTTTTGATTGATTGTAGAGATGAGGTCTCACCAAGTTGCCCAGGCGGATCTTGAACCCATGGGCTCAGGCAGTCCTCTCACCTTAGCCTCCCAAAGTGCTGGAATTAAAGGTATGAGCCACTGCACCCAGCCTATAGATTCTTTATATCCAGTTAGTTGTCAAGTTCTTTGAAATATCTTTTGTTATTTTTCCTTGCTCCTTATTACCATTTTTATTCATTTTTAGACACTTAGGGGCTCAGAACTTTAATGCTCCTGCAGACACTAAGCTCATCTTTCTAAGAACAGTTCTTCCTTCTTACAACTGTCAAACTAATCCTATAGGTTCAACTAATGCAAACTGAGCAACTTCTGTGTGTTTAATGCAATATTAGGTGATAGGTATACACCCAGTATGAACAGAAGAGGGTTTGACCAGTAATGGGACAGCAGTATTGCTGCAATAAGTAAAATTCAAAGCAAAAGGAAAGAACATTTTGCCTTAGTAGATGCAAGTTCCCAGCATTAGCCCCATGCAATAGGTTGGAGATGTTTCCTTCTAATGCCCTGAAACTCTCAGTTTGGAGGGAAAGAAATAAGTATTTAATAAAGTGTTTTGAGTCTTATGAGAGAATTACTATGATATGAGCCCAGTAGAGATAAATATTCTACTAAAGCAATCAGGGAAAGGTTTCTCTGAGAAAATAAAGGAGTCAGAATTGACTAGAAGGTAGCATTCTAGACTTAGGAAATAACGTGATAAGGTCTGGAGTCAGTAGAGTACTGTTATGTACCAGGCACTGAGGAATAAGAGTAAAACCTGGACTCTGCTATCAGGAGCTGAGACTCCATGAGCCTTTGTAAGTCAGTGCTAAGGAAATTAAGATGATAACGTTTGGCCTCATGGTCCAGATGTGGTCAGGAGAAGCTAATTGTTTCATCTGACTCTGAACTCAGGGATTGATGAATGCACAAAATTCAAGGTGAACTTCTTGATGCACTGAGATTATAGAGCTATATCTCAAAGATAGACCTGACATACCTCCTGATGTAATAGAAGACTGGTATATAAACAGAATGCCAATTTATTGTGTTTACAATAACTAGTAGACTGGAATTATCATGCTGGCATGGCTAATTCATCCTTTAGAAATACACATGGGAATCCAGATTATGAGAAAATCATTTGGAGTGTATGGAATCAGATATAGGAACTCTCTCCAGAGAAATTGCTATATAAAGGAATTAATATAGAGAGAGTTTTGGAAAGATACCTTCTCCATTGTTGAATGGGGTTTGCCAGTGTTTTCCTTAATTATTATTAGGTTTAGTTAGTCAGTTTATACTCAAGAGATTAGTCTTCATCCTGGAGATGATAGAAAGTAACTGAAGGATTTTAGGCAGTAGTGGGGTATAGTCAGATTGTTTTTGTTTTGTTTCGTTTTTTAAGAAGTGGGGTGGGGATCTTGCTCTGTCGCCCAGGCTGGAGGACAGTGGTGCGATCATGGCTCACTGCAGCTTCAAACTCCTGGTCCAAATTGCTGTGACTACAGGTATGTGCCACCATGCCTGGCTAATTTTTTGATTTATTGTAGAGATGACGTCTCGCCATGTTGCCCAGGCTGGTCTTGAACCCTTGGGCTTAGGCAATCCTCTCACCTTGGCCTCCCAAAACATTGGGATTACAGGCGTGAGCCACTGTGTCCAACCAAATCTGTGTTTTTGAAAGATTACCTTTGGTGGTTTACAAATTAGATTAGAGGGAATGGAAGCTGGAAGCCAAGGAAACATTTATGAATCAGTTCTAATAGTCCACATGATGAGTAATAATGGATAAATAGGGATAAAGTTGAAAGAACAGAATTCTAATAGGGATTGATTACATCCACCTTATTCCTAGTTAGATTCCCACCAAGTAGCTCATCTGATTTTTCTATATCAAGTAATGTTACTTAAAAGAGAGTTTAGATATGACGAGGATAAAGAACTGAACCTTTGACACTATCCAAACATTGTTCCATTAGGTCTGTGCCTTACATTTTATAAAAGAAATATGAATAAATTCACATAAGTTTAAACAGAAAGTAGTTTGGCCAGGAATTGGGAAGCAGTATTGCTGCAGTTGTTTAAAATACAGAATAAAGGAAAAAAGCAAAGGAACCTGTATATGCTGCAGGTTCCCCTTCTTAAGAGACCAGTTTTTACTGAATAACTCCAGAGAGGTGAAAATCTCCATATTAGAGTTCTGAAGTGGGGTGACAATTGTTCTTGTGTTAGAAGAAGTAGGTGAGTTTCATGCAAAAGAAAGCGTCTTGTGTTGGGATGTTTTAGAAAGCTGATAAAATTCTCATTTGAGAAGTGAAAAAATACTCTCGGACTACTCAGGCACTGTTCTTGCTTTAAGTATCTTAAAAAGTTGAGTGAATGCCAAGCTGTTTACACTGATACAAGTCCACTATTTAGATGCAATTGACACTTGATGTTGGTAAGGAGTAATTTTTAAGAGCCTTTGAAACCTATTATAGTAGCTTTCTCTTTCAAGGAAAATTTCATTCAGATACATACAAAACAGGTGTGACAACACAAATTTGTTTTTGGAAGGTAAATCCAGCTTTCTTAATTGTTTAAATTTCTTTAAATTCAACCTTTTTACATTTCTGTTCTTTAGGTCTGCCAAAATGTCTGAAAGATCAGATCTCCTTCACTTCAAGTTTGAAAATTATGGAGATTCAATGTTACAAAAAATGAACAAATTAAGAGAAGAGAATAAATTTTGTGATGTTACAGTTCTCATAGATGATATTGAGGTACAGGGGCATAAAATTGTGTTTGCTGCAGGTTCCCCCTTCTTAAGAGACCAGTTTTTACTGAATGATTCCAGAGAGGTGAAAATCTCCATATTACAGAGTTCCGAAGTGGGGAGACAATTGCTCTTATCCTGTTATAGTGGTGTGCTGGAATTCCCTGAGATGGAACTGGTAAATTACTTGACTGCTGCGAGTTTTCTTCAGATGAGCCACATTGTAGAACGGTGCACGCAGGCCCTGTGGAAGTTTATAAAGCCAAAACAACCAATGGATAGTAAAGAGGGATGTGAACCACAGAGTGCTTCTCCCCAGTCAAAAGAACAGCAGGGAGATGCCAGAGGCTCCCCAAAGCAGGACTCACCTTGTATTCATCCATCTGAAGACAGTATGGATATGGAGGACAGTGATATTCAGATTGTTAAGGTAGAATCTATTGGGGATGTATCAGAGGTTAGAAGTAAAAAAGATCAGAACCAGTTTATTTCTTCTGAACCCACTGCTTTACATTCATCAGAGCCCCAGCACTCCCTGATAAATTCAACTGTGGAAAACAGAGTAAGTGAAATAGAACAAAACCATCTCCACAATTATGCCCTCTCTTATACAGGCAGTGATAACATCATCATGGCCTCAAAAGATGTCTTTGGGCCTAATATTCGAGGTGTAGACAAAGGCCTACAGTGGCATCACCAATGCCCAAAGTGTACCAGGGTGTTTCGTCACCTGGAGAACTACGCCAACCATTTAAAAATGCACAAACTCTTTATGTGTCTACTCTGCGGCAAGACTTTTACTCAGAAAGGCAACCTTCATCGACACATGCGTGTGCATGCCGGAATTAAACCTTTCCAGTGTAAAATCTGTGGGAAAACCTTTTCTCAGAAGTGTTCCTTACAGGATCATCTTAACCTTCACAGTGGAGATAAACCCCATAAGTGTAACTATTGTGATATGGTTTTTGCACATAAACCAGTCTTAAGGAAACACCTTAAACAGCTGCATGGCAAAAACAGCTTTGATAATGCCAATGAGAGAAATGTACAAGACCTCACAGTGGATTTTGATTCTTTTGCATGTACAACAGTCACAGACTCTAAAGGGTGTCAGCCACAACCTGATGCAACACAGGTCCTGGATGCAGGTACACTGGCCCAAGCTGTCCTGAACTTAAGGAATGATAGTGCTTGTGTGAATTGAGTAGGGGCTTCAAGCTCACAGCTTGAACTGACTGAGAATATGGCAATATTCTCAGTCTTTTTTAGGAGTGATTTTCCTAGTTTGATGTCTCCAAAGTCACTATGCAGGTGATAGGAGATGAGTCAAAGCACTAATAGACCAGGCAATTTACCACTTGGAGTGAATTTGCCTTCCTTTTGCCCTCTCACATTTTCTGTTTTGAATTATTTATCCTGTGATGTCTGTTTTCCTTTCCCAAGGAATAATTCCATTTGTCTATCTAACATTTACTTATATCTTAGACTGACACTATTTTAGCCTTTTCACTAGGCACATTCTGAAGGTACCAACAAGTTGATAATATCACCTTCTCTCCACTAATAGATGCTATGCTAAGAGAAGTGAATAATATTTTTCTTTGATAGAAAATAGCTGAAATATAAGGTGATGTTGCTGTTGATAGAACTTCTGGTTGCCTCTTGATAATTCCTCCTTGTCTGATGAATGAATTTACTTCCTACCATTTGTACTTGTCTTGAAGCTGGTTATAAAGAAGTATACTGGTTTGTTATGAACTCTTTTTAACAGTGTTATAACCAACTTCATCTCATTGAATTGTTCACATATACCCAAGTACAGTCTTTTAAGGAACACCTGCAGGCAAATAGAGATCACCATGAGGAGTATAATCAACAAGGAATAGAAGTACAGTTAAGCACTTACATGGGAGATTTCCCTGGTAGCACCTCCCACCAATGCTTATAATTAATGTTTAACTTGTTGATGCTTTTGATACCAGGATTGCTCCAGGCATACTTAAAATGTGCTGAAGTATAATGGTATCTCTAAAAACAGGCTATTTGGGAGTCTCTGAATTTTGTTTCAGAGTTTAGTCATCAGAAAGGTGAGTTTGGCCATCAAAGTTTTATCCAGTGCACTATTTTCATTTCCTTGTGTACCTTAATTTCTAAAATGAATGGAAAAATGTAAGTCAGACACAGAAGGGGCAATAAAATTTTTGCATTCAGATATTCCTCTTAAAAGTACACTGTCTCACTTTGCCACCTTTGATAGATTGTGAAGACAAAGTTGACATTCCAATATGGAAAAACAAAACAACTGTTTTTCCTAAAGCACATGTTATACTTCAGACATAAAATTTTGAACCTTACTTGTTTCTGACTCATGAATTAGATTAAATTAGTAGTGTTAGTAGAGTTCTTAGAGATTCTTAAGGGATCATTTACTCCACCTCTTTCATTTTAAGTTGGGGTATCCGTAGCCCCAGAGGTGTCCTGGCCAAGATTGGCCAAAGTAGATACGTGACTAAATATGAGCTAATGTCTTCTTACTTTTCCCCACTATCACTTGGCTTTAAAAGATTTTGTACATGATGAAGAATAAAGCAAAAAGCTCTCAGTTTTTTTTCAACTTTGTGTCTTCCTGTTGGCTTCTGAGACAGTGTGGATTTTGCCAACAGAATATCACAGAGGGATTTATATTAGTTAATTAGTTTTTAGCTAGATTAGTGCTACATTCTTCCCAAGCAAGTGACTAATTTGCCAAGTGTCATTTAGGGAGGGAAAGGGCAAGTAAGAATAATGTGAGAAGGATCCAAATGTGCAATTCATTTTGTATGGAAAACAGTGTTTATTAGTTTCCATCAGGATTTTCTGTTTTTATTTCTTAGCTATGAGAGTGCGTGCGTGGATTTCAAAAATTAGGCTTAATTTGTGTAGTCAGAGAGGAACATAAATTGTTATAATTTGATACATATACATGTATCATCACATGTGAATTATGTGAGTCAGGTTTGAGATAGAATTTCTGTCTTTTATTAAAATATTTAAAATGATAAAGCAATTAAGTGATAAGACCTATAGGTACCTTATACTTAACATCACTTACAATATGGTCTGATTATGCTTCCTAGCATTGTGATTTTTAGATAATCCAACCAAAGAGTACCAATTCTATGCAACAGTGAGATTCTACCCTGCATCCTTTTAAAACAACATTTTTGGTTTTCTGAATATAATTTCTTCACAGGGAAATTTCTAGTTAGAGTGCTTCCTTTGCTCACATTCATGTCCTCTTTTTGTTACTGGTTCGAAGACTAAAAGGCACAGGTTCGAATAAGATTGGTTTCTTTGGTTGGAGACTATTTCTGGGTTCATTCAATCATTCAAGAAATATTTATTAAGTACCTACTGTTGCCAGACACTATGCTATTAATTGATACTGAGGATATGAAGGTAAGATTGATACAGTCCCTGCCCTCACAGAGCTTATAATCTCATGTGGTCTCAATTTGGTTTTATATTAGGAATAAGAAAGAAAACTGCCTTGTTTTCTTTGATCATTTAAAAATCATCTTTATGGTTTTGTATCAGAGAAATTTTTCATTCTCACCTTTTGCCAATGCAAACCACTGAAGTGATTTACAGTCTCCTCCATTACTTGGCTGGAGAAGTGTTCTGTTTCTGTGAGACATTTTCTAGTTTTGGTGGGACTTGACTTTCCTCCTTCTTTGCTTATACATATTTGTTAGATTATATTGCAAAGAAGTCAAGTTACTGATACATTTTACAGAGGAAGATGAGTTTCAAAACTAGTCAAATTTCCGAAGAGGAAGATTTAAAAAATCTTAGTCATTCAGCATTTGTATTTTATGGATCCCCAGGAGAAATAAAAAGGAGACGACTCTCTACCATAGTTTGGTTTCTTAAAAAAGTTACTGTGTCACAGTTATTTATTTATTATTTAATTTTAAAGACAAACTCCAAATTGAAGTGACTCTGAGGTAAATCAGATAACAGTTTTAATTTGTTTTAGTTTCTTTATTAGAAGGTCTATAAATGGAAGGTGACTAGTCACCACTTCTAAAATATTGTCCTAAACAACCCAGAACATTTTATTTCAGCTCATGAATAGCTGTTTTAAATCTGTTGTATGTTAGACATACTATGAACTACCTCTTCACTTATTATGGGGAAGTTTCCTTAATAAAATGTGACAATTAAAGCTTTGGTGTCAGTGACTTGTTTTCTCACTCCTTTCCCCTTCTGCTATTCTTTTTTCTTTCTTTCTCTCTCTCTCTCTCTCTTTTTTTTTTTTTTTCTCTTAGCCAATTTTTGTTGTTGTTGTTGGGAAGTCTCACTCTGTCACCCAGACCAGAGTGCAGTGGCACAATCACAGCTCACTGCATCCTCGACCTCCTGGGCTCAGGCGACCCTTCCTCTCAGTCCTCAGTAGCTGAGACTATAGGCGCATGCCACCACCCCAGCTGATTTTATTGTATTTTGTAAAGACATGGTCCCACTATTTTGCCTAGGCTGGTCTTGAACTTCTTGACCACAAGCAGTCTTCCCGTCTCAGCCTCCCAAAGTGCTGGGATTACAGGTATGAGCCACCGTGCCCAGCCAGCTATCCTTTTTCAGTTACTTGAATTTGAATCCAGGAATTCCCTTTTTAATTTTATTACTTAAAATACATATTAACCAGGCATAGTGAACTTGCCTTCAGAAGAAAAACAGATTAATCAAACATTTATTTTTACTACAGTTACTTCCATGAGAACCTGTTGACTGAGGGAGCAGAGCAGCTGCTTTTAATAATTTGTTCGGGCATCCCTTCATTTGGCACAAATACTTGATGCCTATTAAGGACTAGACCTCAGGAATGCAAACATCAGTAAGCCATTGTCCTAAATACTTCTGCCGACGGGACACAAATAATTTTAATACAGGTGTGACAGGTGCAACAATGAAGGCAGGCAGAGATGACTGGGAACCAATCAATTTAGGGATAATTCAGGATGGCTTCAGGGATTATGAAATTTAGAAAGGAATTTTTGAAAAGTGGGAAGAAAGCTTGGGCGTATCAGAGGAAACAGCTGGGCCAAAGGTTTGGGGAAGGAGGGGCCGATTGAGGGGTGACGTTAGGGCCAGAGGTTGGGGCCAGATTCTGATGGACACTACTTAGGCAATCTTGGATACTGATCCCTATGGAAGTCTCTTTTGTCACCTTTCAAGCTGTAGGTCCCAAAAAAGGAGAGGACCACTTCCATAAAAATCCGTAAGGACGTGATTTCTCTGGCAGACCTGCCGTAACTCAGTCTCACCCTCCGTCTCCAATTCAGATGTTCAGGAGGACTCAGAAAGGGGAAAGGCTCGAGTGTCGAAATTAGGACATGAGAAATGGGGCTTGCCGGTATTCCGGCGCCTTTCTGTCATTCCAGGAAAGGGGGAGGGAAACAGCCTCAGAATGTCCTTCCGGGGCGCCCAGAGGCTTCCGGTAAAGAATAAGGCCGGTTAACACCGGATGTGTTCTTTCCCGGGCTGAGTCCATCTTCCGGCTTGGGCCTCCGCTGCCGCGGAACGCTCGACTCTAGTTTTCTGAGTTGGTAAGTGAGTGTGAATGAGACTCGTCAGGTGGGGAGGCCTGAGGAGGAGAAGGACGAGGACGGCAGGGCGCGACCCTGGAGCGGCTGATCTGGTGCTTCAACCACTTGGCCGACTGGGCCTTGGCCTTCGGCAGGCTTGTCTCAGGAAAACCAGTGTGCCGAGCTGGAGGGATCTTCCAGGCCACCTGGGATCCGGTTTCAATTCGACAGATGTTCCCCGAGCTTCCTTTGCTCTGTGTGGGCCCCTCTGCTCGGTGCAGAAACACAGATGAATCAGGCACCATCTCGCTGTGCTCGGGAAGCTACTGACTCTCAGTGCGGGAGACGGGAGGAGAAGTCATATTAGTCTTAGTTGATTTGGGCTTAAAGGAGCCAAATCACTAGCTGGAAAAAGGAACTGGAAACGCGAACATAAGAGACGTGCAAAGGTGTATTTTTGTCTCTTTGTACAGTAATGGCAAAATTTAATATTGAAAGAACTTCGGGTTATGGAAAAGAATATAGAAAGCGATAAAGCAATAAAGGTGGGTTAGGACCAAATCGTAATGGATCTTGTATTCTTTCCTTAGAACGTTAGGTTGTGGTAGAGGAGAACAGTGGAGGACTTAAGCAAAAAGGGAAACTTTTTTTAAAAGAAACTTTTAAAAGATGTTAATTCTGGTGGCATTCAGGGAGGTAATTTGGAATATAGGAGAGTACGGTCTCAAAGAGATCTGTTGGAAGACACTGCAGTCAGTGGTTCAGGTAAACTGGAATGAGGACCTGTCGTATTGGTGGGGAGTAGGAAGTTTGCAGGTTACATTAAGGTTTCTAATTGGGGATATTATGTTAAATCTACTTTGCAGCAATCACTGTGCCTATTACTGGATATTCAAAATTAACAGACCCTACTTGACCACAAGGCACACAAAATACAGCCAAAGAGACAAGCATAGAAACTGTTAACTGTAATTCACTGTAATAAATGCTGTAACAAAAATATGAAAAAATGTACTATGAGACTGTAGAGACATGCACTACAATTTTCTGTATTTTGAGATGGTAGTGTAGTGGTTCACTCTTAGTTACCTAGATTAGAATTTAGGCCAGGCATGATGGCTCACGCCTGTAATCCCAGCAGTTTGGGAGGTGGAGGCGAGAGGACTGCCTTCGCCCACGGGTTCGAGGCCATCCCTGACATCATGGCAAGATCTTGTCTCTACAATAAGTCAAAAAATTAGCGGGGTGTGGTGGCACACACCTGTAGTTCCAGCTACTTGGAAGGTTGAAGCAGAAAGGTCACCTGAACCCAGCTGGTCGAGGATGCAGTGGCTGTGAGCATGCCACTGCACTCCAGCATAGGTGACAGTGAGACTCCGACTCAAAAAAAAATTTTGGATCTTTTTCCCCATTCAGATTTGGGTTTTTGGTTTGCTTGCTTTCATTATTACAGCATGGGAAAGCATTCCCTATCCCTTATATCAATGTTTGTGATTTATTTTGCTTAGATTGTGACCATGGCTGCTGAGTCTGATGTTCTGTACTTCCAGTTTGAACAGCAAGGAGATGTGGTCTTGCAGAAAATGAATCTCTTGAGACAGCAGAATTTATTTTGTGACGTGTCAATTTATATTAATGACACTGAGTTCCAGGGGCACAAGGTGATTTTGGCTGCTTGCTCTACTTTTATGAGAGATCAGTTTTTACTCACACAGTCAAAACATGTCAGAATCACCATCTTGCAGAGTGCAGAAGTTGGCAGAAAATTATTGCTCTCTTGCTATACTGGAGCACTTGAAGTTAAAAGGAAAGAACTTCTGAAATATTTGACTGCTGCCAGTTACCTTCAGATGGTTCACATTGTGGAAAAGTGCACAGAAGCTTTATCAAAGTATCTGGAAATTGATCTTTCTATGAAAAACAACAACCAACATACTGACCTGTGTCAATCCTCTGATGCAGATGTTAAGAATGAAGAAGAAAATTCTGATAAAGATTGTGAGATAATTGAAATTTCAGAAGATAGTCCTGTAAACATAGACTTTCATGTTAAAGAAGAGGAAAGCAATGCTTTACAGTCTACAGTAGAGAGCTTGGCATCAGAGAGAAAAGAAATGAAGTCACCAGATCTGTCTACAGTAGATATAGATTTTAAAGACAATGAGATTTGTATCCTACATGTAGAATCTATGAGTACAGCTGGTGTAGAACATGGGCAGTTTTCACAGCCTTGTACCTCTTCAAAAGCAAGCATGTATTTTTCTGAAACACAGCATTCACTGATCAATTCTACAGTTGAAAGCAGAGTGGCAGAAGTTCCTGGCAATCAAGATCAGGGCTTATTTTGTGAGAATACTGAAGGAAGTTATGGGACAGTGAATGAGATGCAAAGTCTTGAGGAAGGTTATTCACTGAGGCACCAGTGCCCTCGGTGTCCTCGAGGCTTTCTTCATGTTGAAAACTATCTGCGCCACCTTAAAATGCATAAACTATTCTTGTGCTTACAATGTGGGAAAACATTTACACAGAAGAAAAATCTCAACCGGCACATTCGAGGACACATGGGCATTCGGCCCTTTCAGTGTACCGTATGCTTGAAGACATTTACTGCTAAAAGCACACTTCAGGACCACTTAAACATACATAGTGGGGATCGGCCATACAAATGCCACTGTTGTGATATGGATTTCAAGCACAAGTCTGCTCTCAAAAAACACTTAACCTCTGTCCATGGCAGAAGCAGTGGTGAAAAAATATCTAGACCTGATATCAAAAGGCAAACTCTACTATGATTATAATCATAGACTTGCTATATAAACTTTAATAATTGTTAGGCAAGTCTTTCTGTAGAAATGCAGCATTTGTAATAATACATCCTCTCCACCCCATCTTTAGGTCTCATATTTGGTCTGCCTACACATTTCATTCTTTCTGAATTTCTAACAGATCCATAGTAATGAGAGGTACAATTAAGTGGATAGGATTCTGTCTCATACATCATATATAAAGTTCTAGTGTTATACCTAGAGAAAGTGTTCCTCTCTTACACATTTTTGATTCTAGTGACAGAGGATCCACTACTATTTGCAGATTCTGATTTAGAGACTCAAGATTATATGTAGGCCAGGCATGGTGGCTCATGCCTATAATCCCAGCACTTTGGGAGGCCGAGGTGAGAGGATTGCCTGAGCCCAGGGGTTCAAGACCAGCCTGGGCAACTTGGTGAGACCTCATATGTACAATAAATCAAAAATTAGCCAGTTGTGTTGGCACATGCCTACGGTTCCAGCTACTTGGAAGACTAGGCGGAAGGATCGCTTGAGCCCAGCAGGTTGGGGTTGCAGTGGCTGTGAGCGTGCCACTGCACTCCAACCTGGGTGACAGAGTGAGACTCCAACTCAGAAAAAAAAAATTATTTATATGTAAAATCCTATCATATAAAAACTCAAATGAATTGGGATAACAAGAAGAGAAAATAAATGTAAAATAACACTATTATCCATTACTACTTTCTAGTCACTTTAGGAACAGATAGGGCAATTTTCTTTTAACTTGTAAACAACTTATCTGGATTCTTAACTAAACATCCAGGTACCTTTTGTTTTAAACTGTAAAGGAACACAATTCAGATTCACTTAGGAATAGTAGAATTTTCTTATAATGGGTTGATATTCCTAAAATATTTTTATTTCCATGAGTTACTAGTATACATATTTTTTAAATGATTCATTGGATCCAAGTTTCTTGATTTTATTTAATACAATTGGATTTAATAATCTTGTGGCCAATAAAATTATGCCATTGGCATGAAGCCGTAAAAAATTAGAAATTCTAGCTTTACCAAAGATATTCTGTTTCCTTTAAACGTTCATTTTTTAGTTAACATGTAATAAAACTGAAATTTCTCTTTGATGTATAATGAATTTTAACATATGTATAGATTTATACACCACTGCAATCAGGATACAGAATAGTTCCTTCATCCCTAAAACTGCGTGCTCTTTGTAGTCAGCCCCTCCTAGCTCTAAATATGGCAACAGTTCTCCATCAGTATAATTTTGCCTTTTCTGGAATGTCACACAAATGGAGTCTTGTAGTATGTTCCCTTTTGAAATGCTTTTTCACCCAACATAATGCCGTGAGGTTCATCTATGTTATGTGAATCAATAGTTCATTCCCTTTTTAATTTTGGCAATATATATAAGTTCTAGCTGTCACTGGATGAACAGCTTAAACATGAGTAGCTATTAGTGTTATTAATTATATTTTTTCTCTTATGTTAATGCAGTTTTCATTTACTATTTGTTGTCAAAAATCTTAACCATTCCTAGAGCTTTATTCTATATTTCCAGAAAAGTGCCAAAAGCAAAACCATGATTGTACGATAATTTTAGTAATATTGCAGATTGTGTTCTGAGCCATAGTTCTCTAATATCCTTGCCTACATATAATACAAAACTGTTTTATTGTTATAAAACAAAGATTATATTTCAGGGCAAATCATATTCTCTAAAACAGGAACTGCTTTAAGTAAAGAAGTCTGACTAGATGCATCTTATTTTCAAGCTCTTCTACTCCTTCCTTACTTCCTTAGCTTTATGTATGAAATTTGATTTCTGTCAACACCCCTGTTTTAAAATGTAATATACTCTGTACCATTTATAAGAATTTTCTGAAGAATCACATATTCGTTGTTACAGATGTTAAATATCCTTTTTGTGATACTTTTGTGGGAACGATATTCTCCATTGAACTTTAACTCTGGTAGAGACTTTAAAGAATACAGGTCTCATTTGATGAGAAAACTGATTTCGTGACCCAGGTCACTAGTTAGTGACACTGGGCAGATCTCCTCTCCTTGAACTTTTAAATTTTTATGCAGATTAACTTTGATCTTGAAATTTGTAAGATCATTTCCAGGTCTAAAGTTCTATGATTTTATATTTAATTCTTCCTGAGAACAGAGAAGGGGAAGCAAAAGAGGAGGGTTTTATGTCTTTATGAAACTTGAGTATTCCTTTGGAGACAGATTTCTTCTAAAGTAAATAATGGGGCTTTTTCCACTGGAGTATATTATAGTTCAATGCTTAATTAATTTTCTTTCCAACATTTGACCTAGGATTGACCATTCGTGAGTGTGAATGTACTTTCTTTTAAGAAATTATTTACTTGTGACTGAAGTACTTTTCTTATTTTTGCTTCCTAGGATGAAATGGTAGATGTGGGGGTAGGGATGGGAGATGGGAGGAAAGGGTTAAAAAATAGTAATAAACTGATTTTTTAGGAATTGGTGTCTGCTATTTTGGATGTTTGAAAAAAAATTTTAGTTGAAACTATAAATTTTATGTGTGCCTTGTAAGATTGTTGTAAAAAATTTTTTGTGAGCACTTTGAGATTTTTGATGGGGAGAGGGTTGTTTTGTGAAAGTGATTGTTATTATTTATATTATTTATTCCTGCTCAATAGCACCGAGTGATCTCCAAACATTCCTAGAAGAGTATCTGTTTGCATGATGTGTCTAAAAAATTTCAGCAAAATGGAATCTTTTAAAAAGGTATGACAGTGTAGAATTTATTCATTTAAAATACTCAAACCTTTAAGTTGTTTCTGCTTCTGATATGACAGAAAATTGCAATGTGTTTGAGTTTAGACTCTTCATTTATTCCACTTATGTATAAAGATCTTTAAAAGATCATTGTTACTTTGTTGTAAGAGAAAATTGTTGTTCTTTTTACTGGGATGCAACTGTCTTATATGTTTATGTCTTACGTAAGAAATAAACTGGAGGTGGAATTAGAGAGCTTTGTTTTGCCTACATCTGTGAATTTTAAAGGATACCATTACTTCTGGCTATTCACTTAATCATTCATCCAACAAATACTTCCTGTGTCCTTACAATATATACCTGTAATAGAAGTTAGGCATACAGACACAAATTTTTGCTCTTGTGAAACTTATATTCTAGTGAAGGGAGACAGTCAGTAAACAAGTAGGTGAAATCAATTTATGCCAGATTTAGAGACTAAAATAAAATATAGTTAGGGACTGCAAGGGAAGGGGGATGGGATTGTAATATGGTGGTCAGACCACCTTTGAAAAATCCTAGATTATCAGATATATATATATATATCTTTCACTGACCAAAGAAATGGAAAAAAAAAAAAAGCAGAATAGAAAAAAATGTACACATCAAAGGCAAGCATCTTCAAAGTAAAAAATTTTTTAAAAATAGTAAGATGGAAAACAAATATGTATATATAAAATCACTCATCACTGCCCACTTTAAATTATTGACACAAATGAGCCATTGATAGTTGGCAACATTTCTCTTGGATTGGTATGTTTCACAAAGAGAAGAGGATAAAATGGATGAAAGAGAATAGTGGATGAAAGAAAAGTCTTTGATGGGGCCTGTTAAACTTTTTTGAAAATCATTTTTCTTTTCCTTACATCCAGATATTAGTAAGCACATATTTTTAAAAACTCATTATGGTTTATGAGCAACTATTCCATATTTCTTCTAATTCATGGTGGGTTTACTTCCATAGATTTTGTTGTTGCTGGACATCTGATTTCACACTGGAAAGTGCCTTGATTTTAATTATAAGTCGTCATGGTCATTTTCATAACCTGTGTTCTTCAGTTTTTCATCATTAACAAAGGGTACATAGTATCTGCCTTTTAGGACTACGTTGTTTTGAGTTGAAGTCTTACTCTTGTTGCCCAGGCTGGAGTGCAGTGGCATGCTCATTGTGACCACAGCCTTGACCTGCTGGGTTCAGGTGATCCTTCCACTTCAGCCTTCCAAGTAGCTGGAACTATAGGCGTGCACTACCACGCCTGGCTTATTTTTTATTTATTGTAGAGATGCGGTCTCACCAAGTTGCGCAGGCTGGTCTCTAACCCCTGAGTTTAGGCAATCCTCTCACCTTGGCCTCCCAAAGTGCTGGGATTACAGGCTTGAGCCACCGCGCCGGGCCTTAGGACTACTTTGATAAGTAAATGAAATATAAATAAAACTAAAATAAATACAGTATTACAAATTAAATATTAGACAAGACCTGGCACATACTAAGTAGTTCACAAATGTTAATTCCCTTGTCCCTATTCCCAGTCTATTTCTGCATTTGTAAAACAGTAAGAATAATTCCTACCTTACAACTTGAAGTGAAAAAAAATCTTTCAACAGATATTGAGCTATAATATTATATGATATATACCAGAGTTTTTGCTTAATTTTTTTTTATCTTTGCCAGCTTTTCTTTTGAGTTGGAGTCTCACTCTGTCGCCAAGACTGGAGTGCAGTGGCCGCTCCTGGCCACCGCAGCCTCGACCTGCTGGGCTCCGGCGATCCTTCCACCTCAGCCTTACAAGTAGCCGGAACTACAGGCATGCACTACCATGCCCGGCTCATTTTTTTTATTTATTGTAGAGATGAGGTCTCGCTGCCCAGGCGGGTCTCGAACCCGCGGGCTCAGGCAATCCACTCACCTCAGCCTCCCAAAGGCGCGGGGTTACAGGCTGAGCCACAGAGCCCGGCCTTTGCCAGCTTTTTAGGAACGGAGTTCTCCCCCCCCCCGCCCTTTGGACTCTAAGGACAGAGTTTTCTCTTTAGCAAAGAAGATATGTAGAGGTGCCTGCCAAATAAATGTTTTCATATATATAGTAATTGAGAGATTATTTGGCATTCATATGGAGCTACTGAGGGATCCGGTCAGCATGTCACTACAGGAAAGTTATGTAGAATGTAACACACGTATTAGATTCTGCACAACGACTACCATGTTTTTCACTATAGGAGTCAGACACCGGTTCAAACCAGTGTCTAGAAAGCTGGCCCCAGACGCAAACGAATGTGCAGGGAGTTTCCCATCAGTCCCTTCGACTTGCCCAGTCCTCCACACAGCACCTCCCATAGTGCTCCGGGGCTCCTTCGTCACGCGATGGAGGTGCATCCGCTAGGCTTGAGGGAAGTTCATGCGTAGTTTTAGTGGTGGGGACTGCTACAATCCCCTTCCACCTCCCGGACTCCCGGGCTTGCGTAATCTCGCGTGAAGTGTGGAGCATCTTCTCGCGAGAGCTCGGTCGGGATCCCTCCAGGTCCGCCTCTGTGGTGGTGAGGAGGAGGAGGAGGAGGAGGCGGAG